AAGTATATTGTATTTTTTTCAATGTTCAATCAATAATTGGATGTGCAGCGATTGGTTGCTTGTATCAAATCGATTTCGATCTGAATGGGATGTGATAGTATATGTTAATTGTGTTTTTGTGAATATAATATAGTTTTATTGATTTTCTTGCTAGATCCAGATTCTATATTAGGATATGCTCAACTATGTGAAACTATGCGAATTCCAATCTGTTTTAATACTTCGAGGATGAGTTTTTCATTTCAATTAATTTAAGATCTGTATTGAACAGCTATAAGCGCTTCGAGCGCTCTTTCGATTGACAGCGATCGATCTAATCATTTGCTGATACTCGGATAGCATACGAAACAAGGCCCTCTGAAACAGAACCACAAACCTTTAGACAGATAGCTGCAGGATTGCTATGAGTGGTACTGAGTGGGGGAATACTAGAGGCAACAAGCCCCTGATTAGCTAACATTATATTACTATGAGCGGCTGGAACGCTAGCGGCCTGTAGGCCTGCTCCTTAGTATGTCTAGAATACCCCTTGGGAGGTCAGATAATAGATGCTAATCACTATAAATAAATAAATAAATAGAAGAAATTTAATTAGAAGAATCTTAGTTTATTCAAGATTCTAAGCCTGATAAATCTCTATACCTATAAACTGGAACTCCTTGTTTCTATAAGGATTCACTTTGTTTTTTATATCAATCTGCTATACTCTGTATATAATAATTCTATTCCTGGGTAGTATAACCTATTACTACTATTTATAGAAATCAATGACTTAGAATATTTCGAAGCCGCCGAGATCCTGAATTCTTGTTGGGAAAGAAGAGGTTGTAGAGGACCTTATCTGAAGTATAATTGTTCATTGGGTTGGCTATAATGAACCAATCAAAAAACCCGCTAGCTATTTGGAAGGTATACAGGAACTGATCCGCACTTTCATTATAGATATTCTGATAAACCTGGACCTGCCTGATCTGAATTGTCTGCCTGTGAGATTGTAAACTGTAACTTGCTGTCTTGTTGGAGCTCGGCCTGAAGGAGGGGGGTAATATTATGATGTAAATATATATAACCAATAAACAATAAGCTAAACCCTATTAGACTAGCTTATAAGTGAAAATTCTGTATATCTTCATGTTGGAAAATCCTGTATTATAGCTCTTCGAGCTACGTCTTAGTCTACACCCTGTACCTACTATTCTTAGCACCGTCGAATATAGATTCCTGATCCCGCCTGCCTGCCCCGTGACATCGACCTCTTTCTAAACCTTATTAACTCCTACAACAACAAGCTAGTATTGCAATATCTATATCCTTATTTTATAAGGTTCAGCTTCTCCATAGCTCTTGAAAGGAGCTATACTGTAATACAAAAATACTAAGAACTAATCCAATCCATATAATCCAATCTATATAATCCAATTCATATAATCTTGAAAACCTTGAAAAATTCGAAAAATTCGAAAAAGAAATCGATTTGCTTTCGATAGAGTAATGATTTGTATTCGATGGTAAAGTGATGGTTTGTATTCGATATATACAAGGCCCTCTAGAACAGGACCATCAACCCTTAGACAGAACAGCCGCAGGATCGCCATAAGCGGTACTGAGCGGGGGAACACCAGAGGCAACAAGCCCCTGATTAGCTAACATTAAACTACTATGAGCGGCTGGAACGCTAGCGGCCCGTAGGCCCGCTCCTTAGTACGTCTAGAATACCCCTTGGGAGGTCAGATATTAGACGTTAATCACTATAAATAAATAAATAAATAAATATTCGATATACATATTCGGAAAGATTATATTTGATAGGGTTTTGCCTCCCTCTTTTTCGGCTTTCGTCCTCGAAAACATATAAAAACGTATAAAATTAGAATCGACAATAGCTCGCTAACGAATAGCACTCCAAATCCTAAAAATCCTGAACATCCTGAAAATCCTGAAATCATAAAAATGATAGAATTCCATGAGCTAGCCGGGCTAATACTTTAGAATCCTGAAAATGATAGAATTCCATAAGCTAACCGGGCTAATACTCTCAGAATCCGAAAATCCCTAAAAAGATAGAACTCCGCTAGCTTCCCGCTGAGTCCTCGAAAGTATATAAAACCTATAAAATTAGAAATGAATAATGTTTTCAGTATTATATAGTATTCAAAATCCTGAAAAATGACAGAATTTTATAAGCTAGCCAGACTAATACTCTTAAAATTTGAAAATCCTGAAAATGACAGAGTTTTATAAGCTAGCCGGGCTAATATGTCACGGGGTGACACTAAGCCCTTTCTGTCCTGTCCTGTCCTGTCCTGTCCTGCTATATATGTGAGAGTAAGGTAGAACTTCCAGTTCTACCTCCTAGTCTTTTGGGCGTTTAGCTCAGCGGTAAAGCTTCTGAATACTCCCAGAAGTGATCCCGTGACATAATATTTAATATAAGAAAAACCTTAAAAACAATAGGATTCCGTTAGCTCTCCACCGAATCCTCGAAAGTATATAAAATCTATAAAATTAGAAATGAACAGTATTTTCAATACTGTATAGCATTCAAAATCCTGAAAATAATGAAAATCCGGGAAATCCGGAAGAGAACTGAAAATCCTGAAAATGTTGAAAAAGAGTGGAGCTTCATTAGCTTCCTACTAAATCCTCAAATCCTAAAAGAAATCCGGAAAATCCTGAAAAATAGCGGAGCTTCACTAGTTTCCCGCTAAATCCTCGAATCCTAAGGAAATCCGAAAAATCCTGAAAATTAGCGGAGCTTCACTAGCTTCCCACTGAATCCTCGAATCCTAAGGAAATCCTGAAAATGACGGAAATCCGGAACGTCCGGAAAAGGCCTGAAAATCCTGAAAAATGGTTTATTTGTGTTTACCCTTAGGTAAACGATTTCAGTAAAGTACTGTTTTGTTTTGACTAATCACAAGCTATTCGATGTGATATCGATTGTTTGTAATCAGCTTCAATCAGTGATTTCAATTGATTATGGAATGGTTAGTTAAGTTTTTTTTCTTTGTATAATATTATACAGGAGCTCTATTTTCTTGATAGGAATCTTTTTATAAAATAGCAAAGCTTTACTAGCTTTTTGTTGAGTTTTCGAATCCTAAAGGAAATCTGGAAAAAGGTTTGAAAATCCTGCAAATAGTGGAGCTTCACTAGCTTTCCGCTAAGTTTCCGAAACCTAAAGGAAATCCGGAATATTGGGAAAAAGCCTGGGAATCTGGGAAATGACTGAAAATACGGAAAATACTTGCGAGGCCTGAAAGTCCTAGAGATAGTTTAAGGTATTATATAGAAGTATAATATTATCATTGTCATTTCGATAATATAAAATAAATGCACTACTAGTATTTCATAGATATTGTTTAGGGTAGGGTTCTTCTTTTCAATATTCTTTTTTTCTTTTTATTTAATTGTTTTATTTCATTTCGAAAGGATGTCGATAACATATTGTAAGGGGGGGGTATATTGTGAAAGATATCTTATAAGCATTTTGAAGGATTCAAACTATAAAGACATTTTCTTTTCTTAGCTTTCTTTTAATTCAATCTTATAAATGAGATAGGGATTATATTGATCTAAATAATATCGATTGTATGCCGACAGCATATCGTAAATATATCATAAACATATTATAGCCTAATTGAGATCTTAAAGCTTTCGAAGCTTTTGAAGCTATTCCCAAAAAAAAAACTAATCAACAACTTGCTCTAAAGGGATTGAATGAAAAGAATTGTTAGAATCAATACAAAATAATAACTAGTATAAGCCTGATAATAAGACTTTTCATTAATTCCTTCAAAACCTTTCTTTCGAAACTATATATATATGAAAACTCTTCGCTTCCGGACTAATAGTCGGCCCGATATCGATCTCTTATCGATGCTCGTAACAATTTGTATAGTTATTCTTCTTTTTATTAATCATACTACGAGGTGTATTGATCTATACGATATTTGTAGGAGAAAAAAGGGTAAATACGTATTGAAGAGAGTGAAAAGCTTGATTGTATTTCCTATGAAAGATTGAAGCTATTTAAGGTGCTAGAAAGCTAAAAACCACGCTAGAGGGGGCTGTAGTATTCACTCTGGTATCTGTAGGGTATCACTACATACTTTTCATATATCCATCAATCTGATTAATCGACTTCCTGTTGATACATCGGCATCTGACTTTTGTTGGGAGATGTATTAAAGATCAAGGAACATGCATATTCTGAAGACCAAAGCATTGCAAACGCGGCGCGAACATGTCCTATCGTTCATCCAATGGAGCGATAAGCATTTATCTGCATGCATGTGGTCAGACTTGAGTGGGAACTTGCCCTATAGAATTAGGGTTATTCGGTATGGCGAGCGCCAAAGGCTGGAACTTCCTCACCAATCTTTCACGACATATGCAGCATGAAGACAAAGAACGGTGGAGGTGGAGTAAATCTTCTATCAAAATTCTGCTATCTGACCTTAATTTATTCCAGAAGCTTTCAGTGGAGAGTCATTGGCAGACGTTATTACACAGGGTAGTAAATGGGATGGGCTGAGACATGCAGTCCAACGTATTTCAGTTTGACATGCACATATTGCCACCATAATGATATATCACGTCTCAAAGTTCTATAGAAAACAGATCTTCTGATAGTGTATTGACGTTAGACGACAAATATCACTGTGATGTATTTTGGTTCGCGACAAAATAGGTCATGGATTTTTATAGAGCCCGGGCGTCGTACTACCCACCCTGAATACCTAGAACCAATTATGAACACACTTCGCAATGATCTCTGCTATTGTGACTACGTGTCTTGTACGGTGGCCGATCAGTGGCTCTTCAACGCGTTTTTCTCCTCAATCATCTGACCCACTATGCAGACTCTTGCAGGAAGCCTTCCCACTTTGAAACCACCAACTAGGTTAGGAGCCAAATGCAAAATAAAATTGAGTAGGGAGCATCGTGGTAGGTGTCGCTGTGGTAGCATAACCTGAAATTCCCCCAGACCAACTAGACATGGTTTCGCTCATCTTGGCTCTTTGAAGGAAGACTACTTATATCTCTTTGGCAAGCCGATCTCTTCTTTTTCTCTGGACTCTGTCCGCGGTCCTATTGAATAGTTCTTCGTGCCATATTGTTACGCGTCGGAAATTCTCGGAAAGACGTTCGATTTTCTGTGCAATCAAGAAATTCTTTTCATCAAATATTGCTCGTTATATATCAGCAGCATGTTCCTATCATCGCGTGCGACAAGAATACTCGAGGAGGTTAAGAATGTAAGTCACTGGCCCTCTTCGTTCTCGCCATCCAAAAGCTTGTAGATGCTTAATGATCTTGCAAACAAAAATATGATGTTGCACGAAATTTGTTTTCATGCTAATATTCCTCCGATATTAGGGATGCTGTATGCTTTATGGTGCAGAGTATTTCACTGAAGATGAATGGGTGAAAATAGACGCGTTACTGCACAAGGGAAAATATGTTTTTACAAACGGCCCACAAAAACAGTTGCAAGATGCGTACGAACCCTCGGAATCTCAACAGCTCGTGAGGATCGAAGACAAAGCAGTATCCGAACCTCCCAGCAACACTCACGCTGGTCTTCAAGGGTATGATGGACCTTCTGAGGATGAACCAAAATCTGACGCCTTGGTTACAATGACTAACAAAGGCCATGGAAATTTTTCGGGGTCACCACCAGATGCAACTTGCTTCCATTGCCAGGCTCGTCCTCAGCTCCCCGAAAATGAGGCTCGTGTCAAACCCAAGCCAAAATTTGATCCTTCCGCAGCGGAATTTGTGCGCAATTATGAGCCAAAGAAGGAGGAATCCACACAACGGGTATCAACAAGAGCGAGTGACGAACCGAGAATAATCCTTACTAGAAGCATGGCCAGTTCTGGTACTCAGTCATTGCCTGTCGGTCCACGATCTAAGAAGCCAGCATCTGGCGTCCAAGCAGGCAAGTCTTATAAAGCCATCAAAGATTTTCAACCACCGCCTGAGGCACCTGGCGGGATCCCAATATCTTGTGGTGACAAAATTAGGGTCAAAAAACCTATTGGTACCAATCTTTGTCTGGGGTTGAATACCAGAACTGGGCTATTTGGTAGCTTTCCCGTGTCTGCGATCTTAGAGGACGATAAGATAAGCAGCAAGAAAACGGATCATGGTAGCCCAGCTGTGAAAAAAACTGGCGGCTTTTCGATGGATGATTATGATAACAGAAAAACGGCTGAAGTGAGTCCTGAATCATATGTTCTTTAAAATCGCCTCTATCCTTAATTATATCAATCATAGGCTCATGCTATAGATTATTAGTGGGAGAATGACGACGAAGACGATATCTTACCACCACCGACTGAGCCACAGAATACCTCGAACAGTGTTGAAGGAACGAACCAGATAGAAGGCCCTGGTCGTTCTGAAGCTGCTGCTTCGGCCAATAGTGACCGCGAGATCAATAGTGAGAGTGACAGCGAGAGCGCTGGAATAGAGTCAAGAGTCTCTAGTCTAAATACAGACCATGATGAAGAAGTTGCCAATGAGCAGAAGCCGGACGATGCGGACTATGAAAATAAGGTTAGTTTCACTTTTCCTGATACACCCCCCCCTACCTTTCTTTCAATTTATCTCAAAACTTCCCTTGTGAACTCGGCTTAATGGCACAAAGTCGACCACCTCAGAGCGAACAGTTATACACAGATCTCAATAAAGGTTAGTGCTTTTGTATAATCTTGTGTTTTAAGTCGATATCAATGTATGATATTGCAAGTGGGATCAAGACCGCAACTAAATTTCTCATCTTCAAAAATATATCATTATTCAAATCACAAATTAACCCTTCATACCAGGAACTACAAATGACCAAATATCGTCCCAAAAGGTCATATAACAGTTCCCCTAAACCTGGTAAATTTATGACCACCCGGGACAGACTTCGCATAGAACCTCATGAAATTGTCGTTCCAAAGACTGAAGTCTGTTAGTAAGTAACCCACTCCCCTCACACACCTTCCAAAACCACCTACTAACCCATTCCAGTTACTGGGATAGTCCCAAGGGCTGTCGCTTCCCCGAAGCGCAATGTCGTGATCTGCACGAACATCGCGAGTACACCCTGCAGACGAACATACGAAACGGCAAAATCAACCCCGGCGTTCTCTTCGATGTCGTCTATGCGATTCCCTCCCCGGAGCCCGGCAAGCAGCATCAGCCCGCCGACCCGAGTACCACCGTCGGAAAACGTTTCACGTGTTTCTTTTGGCACAGCCACGCTTCGTCCGAGAATACCAGGAAGTGTCTCAATTCCGCGGCGGCGTGTCAATTCCTTCATACTTATGTCGGAAGCGAGGGTATCTTATATAAGGAAGTGCAAATCCAAGCGTTTAAGAATCGGAACAGGAAGCCAGTGGCTAAACAGCCGCTTTCACCTCCTTCCGAGGCTGCGGATGGTCAGGGATGGGGTTCGGCTGAAGACGCGTCTCCTGCTTTAGATTGGTAGACGAGAAGCAAGCATACAAATTGCAAGACAGAGATAAAGGCTTTGAAATTGACATGGTACACATCGTACTCTGGGCCAACACAAATATAGCGAGGATCATCGATAGGAATCTTTGATAAGATAGCTTTCGTTTTCTTCTGGCGAAAAATCGCCAAATACGGTTCTTTTTAACTAAATTGAAAAATTGGGATTTTTAACTAAATTGACAAAATGGGAATACAACATAGCTAGGAACAATAAAAACAGAAAATCATACTCTACTTTTCCTCCTTGTGTTTTCGTGACGCCATGAAATATTCCCCAGGGGAATTTGAGGTACTTTTGTGATGAATACTCTCATGTTGATACCATTTGCAGGCAACTAAATAGCTCGACATGATCGAACAATTACAATATACGCCACAAGAACTTTATGACAGCAAACATGACGCTTGAGTAACACAGTATCGTTGACTTCATATTCAACGAGCTAAAGGACGTTCTCGAATCCTCAAGAATTCTGAATTTGACCATCCTAAACTATCTAGGTAGCCGCTTCGGTCGATCTATCCTCATCTCATTACCCATTGAATCAACGTACCTCCGCTGAACTTTTGAGTTGCTATATATACCAGAAGCAGAAAGAACAGAAAACAGTGGTTCAAATCTGAGAAGCGAGGTTGCAGGGGCAAGAAGCATGAGATCGAAGTTTAAATACTGGAGATTACAATTACAAATAACTTAAATCCAACCCACTAATCAACCGGTTCTCCATCCTAAAACCCATATCCATTGTCCATAAGTCTTATCCAATTTCATGTCCCATTTACGTCATAACCAATCTCCCCAGTACCGATATCCATCCGAACTCCTGAAATGTGACAATATAAAGAAAGGTTTCATGATATAATTTCGTATCATAGTTGCAGCCATTATAGATATCGACTCCTCAGAGCTTGGCTGATAGTGCTCATTCTACTTGCCATGCCACCTGCCTGCATGTTGCTCGCGAGTGCCTCTTCTAGTGCGCTTTGCGTTACGGACGCGTCTGAAATTCATTAGAGTCAGCTGAAAGTCTCATTCGCATTCAGTCAATAGTTGGAGAAATTTCGTGACAAAAAGGATACTGAATTTGAGTATTAAAAAGTACGGGGTATCAATGAGATTTACAAAAGAAATGAACGGAAAACACGAATAGGATAAGCCTCATGACTTGAAACTCTTGGTAAATGGGGAAGACAGACCATCCAGATCACTAAAACTACTACCCATACTTGGTGTCCCCCCATCACTTCTCTCGCTTTGTAACTCAGTTGTGCGACGAGGACTCAATGGGCCAGTCAGCGGTCGTCTGCCACCTCCGCTTAAAGCATCGTGCCTTTTGTTCACAATTGGGGCGGAAGAACTCGTGGAGGAATCGGAGGTCTGCGATTCGACTGGCAATAGTTTCTTGGGGTGCGCGGACGTTCGCCGAGAAGGATTGCGGGGGTCAATCCGAAGGGTGGCGGATGGATCTTGCGGGGTGGGAAGAAAAGCGAGTTCATCATCTGATGAGGGATCTTTGTTTGTTTTCTTGATAGAAGGAAAGCGTTTGTTAAGCAGGGTTGATTGGAATGGATAAGGATCGTCATCGGAGGAGTCCTCAGGAGAAGAGAGTTGCGCCGGTTGTGGTGAATTTCTAGGTGGATGGTCAATTGCTAGTGAGGGCGGTCGTGATCGCTGCTTTGGTGAGAGAGATCGTCGGTTTGTGGTGGCTTGAGTTGGTCGCGAACTTGGTGCTACGAATATGCGAGATTGAACAGTTGTCTCCCGAGATGATGTGCGAGAAAATGGCGGAGCTACTTGACATTAGAAGTTAAACATATCACTTAATTGAAATGATGAATCATACCTATTGCGCGATTGGGGGTATTTGGCACACTTCCATCATTTTTCGAGAATGGAGTACTCTTTCTATTGGAAAGGGAGGACTGAATTCGTGGGCCTGCTAGTTGTGAGCTCCTGGGCTGATGGGTTTCATGTGCTGCTTGCGAGGTACCTCCACCTCCAGATCCAGTTCTCCTCATTTCTTCTCCACCTGCTTGTTCAGATATACTGTCTGGAACTGGCGATGGAGCTAAAGAGCCTTTAGATACCGTCGCTTTCCTCATCTGCTCACGAACTTGTGAAAATTGTCGTTCGTAAAGCCATGCTACCTGCTGAAGAAGGAATGGAAGGGTAACTTCGAATTTCGTAGCTCTGCGAGCATGTTAGGATGTGTTGGAGAATGCGCAAACGAAACCTACAATGCAGTCCCTAGATGTATTAGCAAGGCGATTCTTATAAACGATTCCAAGTACTTACAATCAACATCGCTATTCTTTGGAGCTTTGAGCAATATCTTCCAAAGAGCCTTGTCTTTTCCTGCATCCCATTCCACCTGAAGAAGATAGTTATTAGTATAGCATCTTTAATACATGGGGATGTTCCATACCGCTGGAGGATCAACGAAATCACCACGCGGAAATGGTAATTTTACAAACACAGTATAAGTGGGATCTGATTCTGCGTCTGAATTTGACATTGTTGTTGCGAGTTAATTGCGATGATGTAGTTAATGCGGCTGTTGCTTTCCCCATACCAAGTACTCTTTATCGGAGATGGTCATGCACTAAGATAAAGCTTAAGGTCGCTGTAGTAATAATGCAGGGTGCACCTACCACTACCATTCCCTCTGAAAACATACAACCCGAAATACATGTCAAGATGCCATCTGCCAGAGTGTTAGATCCACGTATCAAATGCAATTTTTCATCAGTCTTTTATTATGAGTTGACTTGAAGCTTAAGAAGATTTTCTAATCGACTAGGAGTGGCCATTCGTCATTATACACCAGAAAGTTGGGTATATATATTGAAATAAGGCTTTCGGCGCCATCTCCTCCTTCGCTTTGTCAAGGATTGAGATGAGAGTCTTGGATGGTGTTGTGGTTTAGTGGTATAAAACCTCCGTTGATCATGAATTAGTATATGAACATCATGTTTCCGGTACCTTTGCTCAGGGCGGCGTTGAAAGACATAATTACTCGGTCCCAAAACCTGTAATCCAGATGACGGATTATAGTAACCTGAACAAGGGATACCGTAAATGTGGCGTCAGGGCCCCTCACCCATGCAGCACGAACGGGTAGGTAATCTCTGAAACCGGATTCAGCACATTTTGGACATGGGTTGCAATTCTTCCGATTGCAAAGGAGCCATTAAAAGGCTCAGCAGCACTTCCTCCGGGAGGAAACGGGAGCAAAGTATTTGCTCGTAATGCAGGATCGTTCGGCGAACCAATCAAAGTCAAAGAAGCCAAACCTTTGGTTTCCTTCGAATAGTAATGATTGGACAGCACCAGGACCGTCTGGTAAACCAATCAAAGCCAGAGAAGCCAAACCTTTGGTTTTGTTCGAATAACAATGATTGGATAGCACCTGGAAGATCCTTTTCGTTCGCCGCCTGACGCTCTCTCAACCTAATGAAGCAGTCGTCCGCTCATAGTTGGTCTTGCTTATTATTATGCTTACTAAGTAGCGTTGGACTTGTTGACCTGAACTCTTTCTCTTTGCTATCTCTTTCTCCTCTATCTTTATCGCCATGTTCATTTCCATTTTCACCGCCACTTCTATTTCTCTACTCCCAATTCGATCCTCGTCTCTATAACCCCCAACCCCTTGATCACATCGCACAACATCTTTTACGACTTTCTATCGACATCTTTGTATTCCTGCATCTCCATTGCAAAACTTCTATTACGAATCGAAACTTCCCCTACATTTGTGTTGTATACAAGAGTTGGATTCTACTACATTCGCTGTTTAGAACCACCCCGCCTGTGGTAGTTCTTCAGTATCTGCTGTCTAGAATTATTCTGCTTGTGGTAGTTCTTCAGTATCTGTTGTTTAGAATCACTCTGTTTGTGGTAGTTCTTTAATATCTATTGTTTAAAACCATTCTGTTTGTGGTAGTTCTTCAGTATTTATTCTTTAGAATTATTTTGTCTGTAGTAGTTTTTTAGTATTTGTTGTTTAGAATCACCCCGCCTGTGGTAGTTCTTCAGTATCTGCTGTTTAGAACCACTCTACCTGTGGTAGTTCTTCAGTATCTGCTGTTTAGAACCACCCCGCCTGCGGTAGTCCTTCAACGCCTGCTGCTTGAAACAACTTCAAAACGATTTACCTGTTAAGTTTTGCGGATCACTTCTACAGCTCATTCTGTTCAAGAGTCAAGGCTGCTCTATAGCCTGGGTGGGTTGGGAATCACACGTAAAGTGTGGGCTAGTATCGTTTAAGACAATCATTCTTTGACTACGACTATCGCTAATTATAGTCATAGGGGCAAACTATGTCGAAACCAACTGATATTCTGATCGAGAAACTCAAACTGCAATGTCTCCTTCGCGAGAAAGTGTTTGTAACATGGAAAGATCAATCAGGTACATCTTGCACACTAGGTTCTCGGCCGAATCGTAATGGATACAATCTCAAATATTTCATAGCTGCATACTATGATATAAAGGAATGTATTCATATCCATTTCTCTCTTGAGGTATTGGTTATAATTAGAAACAATAAATAAGCAATAGAGATTTTGTTAGTTATTCCTCCAAACGCCGATTTCGCAAATAGTTCTAGATCTCATTTAATGTCGGATATCGATAGTTTGTCTCGCCTTGACGCTTCTGCTATTCACGATACTGAAATCAGCGATTCAATACAAGTTCTCTGTATACAATTCGATCTGGATGCAAAAGGGTTTGTCGTTATGAAGAAGAAGAAGACTGCTGCAACTATTAAGGCTTAGAATGACGCCTCCAGAAAATTGATTTGTAGCCTTCAATCTCTATCCAATACGAAAACCTTCATCGTATACATCAAACCAAGTGATTATGCACAGATGGGTCTAAAAACACTTCACAACCGCTTGAACAACATTGATACTCCCAACGACCCAAGCAAAACTATCACGAAGGGAATGTACATTAGACGAGCGATCGAATTGGTGGAATGGAATAAATTTGATGCAATCTCACTACCACCTGCATATACAGAGGCCCAGTTATTCCCGGAAGTGCAGGTTCTCCGCTCACCACCAGTCATTTTCGAACAGAAAGCGCCATTAACTAATACTGTCGAAGAGGCGATTGCAGAAACACCAGCTCGAACTCTAATCAGTTCTAATCCTGCATCGGTGCATGGTATTTTCTCTCCCACCTGTGAAGAATTATCAGATAGTGAAGTGAATTTGGAAGATATCGAAAAGGATACGCGATGTTTTGAAATGAACTTGGATGTGGATTCGGATGAAGAACGGCTTGCTATTTTAAAATCTCGAGAACTCAGTCAGGAACTCAATCATTCAAAAGCATCACAAATACTCAATTTAAAGTTGAGAAAATGGGTACAGACAGCATTACGGATAAATCCAAATGTTCACAAGCACAAACGCTTAGTTACCAAGTTCTCAATTCTGAACAATTGCATCCGTTCATCGAATACTGGGTTATTTGACGCTACTTTACCCTGGTGCTCTGCGCAGTTTTTCTTCGATCCGCACGATTCCGATCCCGAGAACATTCGGGGATTATGGAGAGAAAGGAAATCGAAGCTCATTTTAGAGATAACTGAACTGATTCAATGGGCTAATGATATGTATCCTGGTGCCGAGATAAGTCGATCAGTAATCGATCACTTTATGAAGCTAAGTGATATCGCTCGTACTTTTGCTTTGAACCCTAGTGACAGCAAGTGGGGGGGTTTTATTGATCAGAAAGGTGTCTGTCTTCTCGAGGTATGGGCGAAGTTTGACGAGCCGAGTGGTAGTATCAGTAAAGAGAGCAGCAGATCTGTTTCTCGAAGAAGCTTGGGAAACTGATAGCAACGTGTTCAAGCGAGTAAAAATGTCATCTTTACAATATCTGAATGAAAAATTATGGTACAATGTGAATAGTGAAGAAACAACAAGACAGCTCAATCGTAAATATGTATCTATTGTCCAGAACATAGTCGAAAAGAGAAATGTATCGAAGCTCTCTCTGTTTGCTCAACTTACACCTTCTACCCGACAAGGCGAAACCTTTTCAGATCTATAGAATTCGCGTAAATGAAGACAAGGACTTGGTGAAGTTAGGCCGGATTAATCAGCCAGATAATAACCGAAAACCCACCGATATGCCTAGACTGAAGCCCAATCACGAAATGAATATTTTTAGCTATAATCTTATACAATTCCTTTGAGGACAAGTATTCTTGAAATATAAACTCGAGTTCTAGCAGCCTATCCATCTCCAATATAACAGAATAGCTTATAGAGATAAAATTATTATTCTGAAATAAATGGAACTGGATCAAATCACACAGTTAGATTTAGTGTATCAAAGGGGATGGGAGTTGAGGGGTCAGTGGGAACATACGATAGAAAGATTTCTGGCCATGCTGCTGATCATTTGAGACTTTCCAACGCCTGCATCTCCAATAACAAGCAAGCGTATGGTTCTTTCTACTTTGTTGAACATGTTGGAATTATATAGAAGGTGGAATGAAATCTGGCAACCGTATTTGTGTTACCCTTTCTTATACTTAGTACGAAATACTTCAACGGGTTGCCTCGTTTTATAGATTTGTCATATCTGCTATTGCTGTACGCCTCTGATCGATAATTGCCTCCTGTTCCATTGCCATTATCATCTTGTAAACTTGTTATCAGCCCAGTAGGATATGAAGTGAGGCCAGTCTCAGCAATTGAACTGATCCGCATCGTAGATGACGATTGATTGCAGGGGGATAAATAACCGGCAGTCATTTAGCCCCTTGTAATGATATCTACAGTGCGACTATGTGAGAAGATGTCGGCAGGGAGCTAAGTGACTGCCGGTCATTTACCCCTTGTAATCGATCGTCATTATACAGATCAGTAGAGGTATAGGCGAGGACAGCAGAGCAGGGGATTTGCAAGGTGCATAAGGAGAATCAAAGAAATCAAGGGCTGGTGGGTGCGTGGGTAATAAAATACTATTTTTTGCCCACGGTCTCAAGTTCGGACAGAGGATTTACGAGGCGTGTAGAGCGACCGTGTTGACAGTCTAATGTGAGAGGGTACAAGGGGCCTACAAACCTTTGATATTTCCATGCATCAGATCTAAGCTGGAAGCGCTCGCCGACAGAGCAGGATCTATCTACCAACAGAATGTACCACACTCCAAGTTCCTGCAAGATGCTTCGCTGTTATTAGGCAAAGAAGAGATTCCTCCGTATATAAAACCAAAGATAGACGAAGATAGGACTGAGCAGTTCTCCCAAGAAATACATCGCTTGTTCTTATTCTTCAAGCTTTCCCTCAAAACACAATTCAAATCCGCAAATCAAATACTCCAGTCTCTTATGGATACCAGCTCTCAACGACAGATCTCTATCTCTCAATGGCTAATAGATTCGAGGGAGATTAGACCTATATCACAAGAGCAGCTCATAGTTGAATTCAAAGGCATCCATGCTGGGCTTGTTGAAGTGGAAACCGAGTGTAGAAAAATGGTTAATGACGCTCCTTCGAGATTAATGCTCAACGATCTGCAGTGGGAAGCCCTGGCTATTATGCATATTACATTGATTGAAAAGCACCACGACCTTCTTTTGGCGTCTCTGCAATCACCAGCGAGCCCAGCCCTACGTTTCTTTCCTTACAAATATAGCATGCCAGCACGAATGTGGCGTCATGGCATCCATTCGTTTTTGGAGCTTTTATCTCATCATCTACCAGCATCGTTCGATCACATGCTTAGCTTTCTTTATCTAGCCTATCCGATGCTAGGATACCTTTCTGAAAGAGTTCTTGCATCTAAACATCTTTGGATAGAATTGATGGGAGACCTTGGACGGTACCATATGATGATTGCGGAAGATAGCATTGATGAAGACATGTAGGCTGAAATCAGTCGCTCGCGTTACCTCGAAGCTTCTAATATGTCTCCTACAACTGGTCGAATTTACCATTATCTTGCGATCTTAGCGAAACAGAACATGTTACAAGAGCTTTACTATTATGCGAAGTCTCTTTCTGTTATCGAACCATTCGTAGCTACACGCGAATCGATTCTTAAACTGTTTAATTCTGTCAATACTCAAAATGATCAAAGGAATTATCAACTTCCTCCTTTCGATGTTGTCTTTATCAGAGTTTACAGTTCTTTGTTTATACGAACAAATTTGATACAATACTTGATGGATTTCTTGTGCTTTTCGACAACCAGATAGGACAAGTAACAAGAAAATTTCTTGAACAAGGCTATCAGATTTCCAATTCTAATAGTATTGCGGTCCTCGCCTTCTGCTCCAAAGAAAATCCTGTTATGAAAGCTATTGCACTATTCGAGGCTAATAAATCTTATGCTCAAAGCGAGAGTACTGTTACTCAGAGCGAGAGTACTGAAGATGATTCTTCACACTCTATGTCCTTGCTTAGACGTGCGGAAAAACTTAGCAACTCAACTCTCGATATCATTCTTCAACGCGTCGGTGATCCAAATTGCCTTAGTTACGTTCATTGCACTCTTGTTTTTATATATCGTATATCAAATGTCTCGGGCGCAATGAATCTCTTGGCAGAAGCGTTCCCATGGCCGAGGCTGATGATTTACTTGAATACGTTATTGAGATCGAACATTAATCTTGATCGCATTCGAGCCGACGAGTTTCCATGGCTACCCGTACTGGAGAGGGGTGAGATGCATCCTCTTCCGGAAGACTATGCAATGAGGGGTTTAGGCTTCGCCGAAAGTTTGTATCCGAAGGAATGGTTTCTTGATGACAAAAGAGAGGAACAGGTAAAATATCATGAATTACGAATAATGGAAGAGCATCGCAAGGAGCGAATACTATGGCTTGCTTGTCGTATCTGTGATTCTGGTTCGTGGATTCGTTTCGACAGCTCACGACCGGGATTTACTGTTGATGATAACTGATGGTGGAAACGTTGAAACAATGATTAATTACATGGGGTTGAGAGCTGGTTTGGTTGGCGGAATCCGTCAAAACAATTCGTTGAAATCCTCTTCTAGCTTGTTAAAATCTTTACTTATTTTTATTTTATTTGTACGTAGAAGAATGTAGCTGTAGAGCTAGGTATAATGAGTGTATGTTGAGTTGTTCCTTCTCTACTACCTCCCTTGCTACCTAATACTGTACTTACTAAAGTCTTGGTCCTCATGTGAGATCACAAGATACGATGTGACATTCATGCGACCTTCAGCCCCGTCACGATATGCAAATTTTGACGGTTTGAGTTGTCCAAACCTGTCCTAAATAACAGGCGGTCATTTTGCCCCCTGTGCCAACCCTTGTCAAAATCTTTTTACACAATCGCATTGTAAATGACGATCAATTGCAAGGAGCTAAATGACCTTTGATCATTTAGCCCCCTGTTGTCAGCGCCAGAATGAGTTGAGTGCCACAGGATCCTGGCTGCATTTACGAAACACAGGAGAAAGAATCATTCGAGATAAATGGGTGATGATTGGAAGATTGATGAAGTTGCTTGAATGCATCGGTATCGGTACTATTCCTTCGTACTATTACAGGGCTTGTTCCGAAGGAAGGCGGTAAAACTGCTTCGCTAATTCAGCGTTACAGTATTACCTCTGCAACTGAACAAACCCCGCTCCCCAGACTTCTTCTCCACGCGTCCTCAAAATTTTCGAAGACTGTTGATCCTCACCCACTCTCCAATTCTCCTTTGTACTTTTTTATTCATACAAGTCTTGTCACTAAGAAAAATAGACAGAAAAAGGCGTCAATATATGTTATCATCTACAAGACTAATTTAATGGTTCCAATAATGTTGAGTTTACAGTTATTCGAAGGTATCATCATGCTTGCTGGTCTGTAACAAATGAATCTAAGAGGATCACACGGGAATTATACAAGAGAAAGTTCCTTTGCATTTGCACTAGGGTATAAGGAAACCCATATTCAGGCGAAAAACTTATACCAAGCAATGAGGTGTCCTTCATACCATTAGGCCAACACCATGCGCAGTTTCTCGCTCTTTAAATATTGTATATCCACCCATTGTTCAAATACTACTTCCTCATCCTCTGCTTGTATTAAAATATAAACATCTTTTCGCCATACCAGCAAAACTTGAAGTATCCCTTCACAAGTAAAAGTGGAATTGCCAACAAGGGCAGAAAGCTTGACTTCTCGTTCTAAGGTTTCAACAAGCTGAAGCATGAACAGTTCTGGAACGTTCTTCGAGATGAGTGCGTCGTCGCATATCCTCTGAGCTTCCATCTCCATTCCCTCCATCATATGACTTGTCTGATAATGGCAGACTCTTAGCAAGCTCACTCGATTGGTCACTGATTTGCCGAGAACTCCTTTTTTCTCTTCAGTCGGTATGAACACAGACTAGTCTTTGGCTGTGGATACTGACATTTAGGCATGCATTCCCTCTGGAGACATGACTGTTTTGTCCTGGAATCTTCAGTAGTTGTGCGGTCTCAAAGATTGAATGAGTCAAAATCAATTTCGAGTGTCACTTAGTATCATCTGTAAATTCCATGGCCTCCCTCGGAGATAATCATTGTCTTTCACAGTAGCACCAAGAATGGTCGATCACATCCATGATTTTGTTTGTACAAAGTTCAGAGACTTTTCAGACTATAGAGTATAGATGATTTTCGCGGTTCATGCGTCAACAGATGTCTAAAAATGCTTGTTATTGATTATGAATAGATATAATCCATATGGGATTTAATGATATCCTTCTACCTCTCTTTCAGCTTCCTAAATACTACCCTCCTTGCCCCTGTTGATGCGTCTCGCTTCTCTTCAAAACCCGGTCATTTCGATCCATTCTGATAAGTGGTCCAAAGATTTCTCCACCGCCACAGCAGCTTTCCATTTTCTATCAAAGTACAATCTATTTCGTTGCCAGATATTTGTGTATTTCCAGTGAATTTTCCAAAAGAGTGCGGATGGTGCCAGATTAATGCTTTCCACAATTACTTTCTTAGCTTTGCTATCCCATTCAGCCCCTAAGTTGAAGGGGGAGGGGATTCGATTCGCTTGGAGGAGTAAACCTCCCTCTTTTGAGCCCAGATAAGCCGAAGTGTCCTGTTCGTCATCTACCGACGTACAACCCGTACGATCAGTACGTGTATATTCATAGTCCTGATATCTCTCCTGCAACATCTTCATATTTTGGATTTTGTTTGCGAAGACAGATGCGAGAAGAAAACGATCCGGAACACCGCTCGAAGGGACATCTAATTCCGTTGTCATACTCGTAGAATACCCTGCATTCTCCCTCGTCCAACAGAGATCATTTTCCCAAAAGAAATATTGATCTTTCAGCCCGTTCCAGTTTTCAACTAGCTTGTACAGTTCGATTGGTGGGTATAATTGAGACATCTCGAGCTCAGTGACTGGGTATAATCGGAAAGGAAGACTTGTATCGACCAGGCTTCGTAATGGAACCTTTGATGGGTATAGAGCTCTGTATGCAGCGTAAAGCTCAGGACAAGTTAAGCCAAGACAGGTCGAGCCCTCCCAGCCGAGTAGCCCCATCACATTGTATATGATCTCCAGTGGAAGATCTCCGAGACGGCGATGAGTTTTGGTTGGCACTGTATCAATTAACTCATGTTAAATTGTGAAGAGGAATTATCATGTTGCTTACCTTGTAACCAGCAATTTGTGGGGACGTTTCTCATCGTGGTAGATTTCTGAGATTGATGTTTTAGTAGTGGAATTGAGTAGCAAGATTGGTGAACTTTCTCAGTTGATCTTGCTTTCCGAAAATGATTTGGAAATCTGAATGAGATTGAGAATTTGCTAGGGGATGCGATTGGGGGAACTGGAGGTTAGTTCATATGATATTAGACAAGGTACGCTCTTTGAGATAGTGCCGTAGTAAACATTGCGAATAGATTTAGTGCATAATTCGAAGTAGACCGTAAACTCATAAACGTACCGTATTGATCGGGAACTTCATGGAATCAACCGTACCTGAACTTCTGCCTAATTATCTACCATCGATAGTGGTGTAAGATCTGATGGCGGTTTTCATTTGTCTCAAAGATGATCTTTGTAACGGGACCGTAACGATTCATAAAAGCCCTAGTTTTAGAAAAGTTATGAGCGATTGTGCAGTTACTAGCCGGTGAGATAGCTTTGCATAGACCTGAGAGTATCAACTTAAGTGAAGGAAAGGATTTGCATATAGTTGAATAACATGTATTGTATGTAGTATTAGACCAAATATAATTTTGAAATCTTTGAGATTCAATTTGAATCTTTCCAGTCCATTATTGACTCGTTCTTCTCATCCCTCTATCGCCTTAGACCTCAATCGTAAGTAACCATTCCGAAAATGCATTCGAACATATCTCAGCCTGGCGTTCAGCCCAAGCTTCTTGAAAACTTGCATGGTTTAGACGGAATAGAAGACAGTTCGTCCAGTACCATCTCCAGTGCCTTCTATCACGAGCCAAATCTATAGTGCTCAAGATCACCTTTCTAGCCTCCTCCTCCCACCTCTCAACTCCCATGTTGTAAGGATTGGGTAGAGGACTCATCTTAAAAGCGGATTCTGGATCGTCCTCTCGTGAGAGCGAACCGGGCGAAGCTATGAAGGAGTCCCCGATATTTTTCTGATTAATTCTTGGAGTTCTGAATCAGAAATAATCCTCGTAACTATTTCTGAGGCTACATCGCAGCATAGTATTTCTCAGAATAATTTCTGGGGTATTATCAAGCGGAGTAATGTCATATATAGACTTAAGGAGGAATCGAGCTGGTATTACCTTAGGATTGACATTAGAACCTTTGATACGTCCCCATGGGGAATCCGGCGCCCAAAATGTGTATTGATGACCATGCCATGTTCCTAGCAACTGAAATAGCTCGAATCGAGCCTGTTTTGGAGGCTCACGACAAAGAGGAGGAGGACCTGTCTAAACCAATTCTCGCAAGGATATCTTTAATGGGTATAAATGCTTGTAGATTTCGTACATTTGCGAACAGGTCAAGCCAAGGCAAACTGAACGTGCCCAACCAAGCTCTCCCATGATTTGAAACATGATGTCGATTGGGATGTCTCCGAGTTCGCAAGTAGATTGAAGTACTATCGAAGGATCAGCAAATACAGATTTTGAGAAGTACATATTACTGCACTCACCTTTCTCAAGAAGGACATCGGGGGGCCCTTTTTTCCTACCTGTATGTGATGTTGGTTCAACTTTTGCCTTCTTTGTGATATATACCATTTTCCCAGTTTCTGCGGGATATGTATTCAAGAAACAAAAGTAGTCGTACTAATTGATCTATGCGGATGGACTTTCGGGAGAAAGCATACGTAGGCTCAAAATTTTTCAACACCGAGATTTGATGTTAACACCTGGTAGAGTTACTCGAATGGTTGTCTGGATAGACTTTTATCTATCGCTTGCAAGTAAAAGAAGATGGGAATTTGCAACTCAAGAGTTCAATGATCTCATAAAAGGGTGGCTACTTCATTGACGCCGTACATAATGACCGTACTAGATTCAAAGATTGATAAAATTGAGAACCGAAGATATACGATCGCGCCGTATTAACCAGTAATTTCTAGTGATTTCAATAGCGAGTGATCGATCAGTCAATTCTTTACGGCACTCCTTATCATACACCCTACAGTCACAGAAGAAAGCTCTTTCATCTTGGAAGCTAATAATGAGATGAGAGTGTTAGGATTTATAATTCTTTGGTAGAATCGACACCATGAACTTGTTGATTCAATGGTCAAATGTACAATGAGACTCAGTCCCTCTACGGTGTTGATCTGACAAACCACCTTGAATTCCCTATCGATAGCTAAAAGCGGTATTGTAGTGAAAATGTTATTCTATCTGGCCCCAAAACTTTGCATCCCTCCACCATCATGACCTGCACTAACCCTCTAACTCCACTGGTCTATCTTCACCGCCAAGCTCAGCTGCTTTCTCAGAAGGTGCTGCTGATTGCTGACTGGGGGCTTCGTGATACGTTAGAGGTTTCGTCAAAGAACCTGCTGGATGTTCCGTCAACGGTTTTGTTGCAGGATCTCTCTTGTTTTTCCTTCGTTTGTACAGAAAGTACGCCAACCCAAGGACTGCACAAAGCACAATCACAGATGCAACAGCAATACCTGCTGCTAATCCACCACTAATTTTAGTGTGTTTATCCCTGTTTGTCGTATCAACTGCTGTTGAATTTCCAACAGCTGCAGTGGAAGAAGTAGATGCCTGAGTCGAGGAAACCACAGAACTGGAAAGTGTCGGAGAAGAAGTAATTTTGGAGGATGGGGAAGAAGTTGTGGAGGACGAGGAAGAAGTTGTGGATGTTGAAGTAGAAGTTTTAGAGGATGAAGCAGAATCTCCGGTGATAACCAAAAATGCTGGACTTGACACATCACGAGAGTGGGGATTAAACGCAGGATTAAGGTCTTTAAATCGAAGGACGTATTTTGCGGTCTTGCCTAAAACACTGGTTGGGATATCGATTGTCCAGTCGTGAGTGCCGCTATCGTTGGCGTTGATATTCCCTATTAAAAGAAAATCTATCAGTATCATGAAGAGCCTTGGTAGTAAAATGGCAGGTCTTCCATAATTATACCTTCGAGTAACTGGCTATATGCAGTCTTTTCATACTCCCACGATGTGACCCACAAGTTCGTCAAGGTATTAAACTGATAGTCCACTGGCGCCCCGAACCAAGTAATCTGGACAGTGAGACCTTGTCTGAATGTTTGTGAAAGATCTGGCTGGGTGCCATCAGGTACGACCCAGATCGAACCGAAATCTTCAGCTTGCTGAGCTCGAACTGCTGAGAGGTAGAGGAAACAGATACCCAATATAGCTGTGTAGAAATGAAACTCCATTGCGATAACGTGTATAGGTTCAAGCCTTCGATAATCTTTGCTCGTTTTTATGGGAAAATAGATCTGGCTAAGCCGCGAACCCATTAAGATTATGCATTCGGTTACAATATCTTTAATTGGCGATCTCATGACCGACAAAGTGAATACGCCAACTTTCAGCAGTAATTTTGGACTACGAGAATAATTTTCTTGTATAGTCTCCAGCTACTTGGAATCACCTAGGCATGCTTATCTGATGAATTATACACATCTTTTACTCTTGAACGCCTCTATATCTTATTACCGATATATATTTCTGGGACACTTCACTTTTCAGACCGTTCATATGAAGCCCTTATCCAATCAGGTCTCGAATAAAGGTGAATAAAAGCTGGTGACTGTCATGATATAATGTCACATGGTTGGCATCATCTAAAATACTCCAGAATTACTGTAGAGCCGGCACTGAGCTATATGGATGAGAGACTCAGTGGTAACTAGGTATTCATTCTAAAATTGTTAGCATGTATCTTTCTTTTATCTTTATATTGAAGAACTGGGTGTAGGTATGTGGCACTGAGCTACTATTAGACTCTAGATCTGAAGTTGCTGTTAGTATGAACTACTCGTTGCCCAAGGAAATCATGCAATTATTTTAAAAGGGTTGTCTGGTTGCTGACCGTAAATATTTAAGATGTGGTACCTTTGAGCAAGTCGAGATGATAGTGTTAATATGATATCAAACAGATGGCAATATCATAAGCTTGGGTGTAGATTCATCTGAGCTGGTGTAATGTAACATCGTCTATACCTCTGGTGGAACGAGTTATCAACCAAGTTGATACCAGCAGTTCCGTCTCATCTGGCCAATATCGCGGGGAATGCGATACTAGGACATTTGGATGTGTGTTGATAGACTTGTATGTAGGTGATTCAACTGGAAGTTAAGCGATAATAACTGAGTAATAAATTTACTATTTGATTTGAGCACGAGATTCTATCTACCGAGGAAATACATTCTGCTGATATAGCCGGAGACTTTGTTTACTGCTGTCTCATTGCTCCCACACACATCCCACTGCTATGTGACAGTTGGGGCCCAGTGGGATGACCTGGTCAGATGATCTCTTTCCCAAGTGTTCGACTATAACTAGTCAGGCCATTGTATCAACAGAACTTGGTTCCCTATGTTGGAGTTCAACAAAATAAACCCAACATCCTAATCATCGCTCTTACGTGATGACTAGCTATCAAGCCAAGATGTAACAAACAAGTTCTCAAACAGCAGAGCGATCTTGGTTATAGTTGGTGGGATTGGTCGGGGTTATGCCGCTGTTGTTGTCTCTACTCCGAGTTATTAGCATGATTGTATCAGTTACAAGACGAGTTTCTGATCATACCTATTATAATATTCCTCCTTAGCAGCCTTGTACTCTCTGTGACGCTCACGAGTATCCTGGAATGTGGCGGTCAAAGCATGAAGAATACTATGGATGTCATTAACTTTTGTTAACCAAATACCGTACCAGATGTAACTTACGTGCTAACAATAGCTGTGATGAAAGTTCCAAGAGGCAATTGACATCCTGGGTCAGTGGCATAATTGTTCTGCGCTGCAACCTTCTTTCTCTGGCCATAGCAAGGTCCTGCCTTCCCACCATTCGGGCTCGTCAACACGGCGACGGCAATAAACGCTCCCACAAAGGCTATGTCGAGCACAGCTAAGACCCAACGAAGGAATTTCGGCCCGCCGTTTCGCATACTTAGTTTCAAGACCATAATTACAAGAGTGTAAGCAATGGCTGCAACGAGGATGCCTTCAATGGCTCCCTCTGCGTGGGAAATACTGCGATAGAGTTTATAAATCTTTCGGATGCGGATAGAGAAAACGATAAGAGACGATAAAGCAGACAGAAATTGTAGGGTGCGGAGAATTCGTTGAAGGAGGGGGTAGAATTTCGAATTATGGAACCTGGATAAGAAGCCTGCCATTTTGAAGAACTTTTGATTGTGACTTGAAATTTAATTTGACTATAAGAATACAAATAGAGAGAGCGATGAAGAAGAGCACTTGCACTTCTATATAGAATAAAAGTTGCGACAAGATTGCAATGACGCAGCCAGATTCTTAACCAAGCGACATGAAAATCATGGAAATACATGTATCTACAAGTTGCTGTGTTTTGATATGCTGGCATATATTTTGCCCTGTTATTGATAAAAATGACTTCACCTGGGTCTTCGTAAGTCGCGAAATCCAACTCTCCATCGGACCATTGATCTTGACACTACAACTATCAAGTCCAATAAAACAACTCCAGTGTGGTTTCGAGAAGTACTCTGCTACCTCAGTGGCTGAAGTACCCTAGTAGATAGCCACCAGTTGAACAATTACTTTGGGGAAGAGTATTATACGTCCATTCTCGAAGCTTTGAATGCCACTCGACTCACTCAGACGCTCGGCATCCCTTTGCCTCTGACTAGGGAAGAGATTGAATTGTATTTGACGAAGTGTATCATTTCCAGTTTGATAGTCAAAAGTTCAATGGTAATTGTGTTAAGGAACTTTAGAGAAGCTGGAACTACTAGACTCGCTTCTTGACTATACTGAGGTCCCGGCATGACACAAGAATGACGACTCTTGAGCAACAAAAACCCAATGTTTGAGTATACCAGAAAATGGCTTTGTGATGTTAGGTACCACCACGACAATTTAGAGGCTATCATAATTCGTGCAACAGCAAGGATATTTTTGCTACCGCTTCTAAACCATATCAAGAAGTAACTGTATGCTGCTCTTATATCATCGAGGCCTATTTGATTCCATTTGTGAGAAAACAAGTAAAATGTTAGCAAGAAAAGAAGGTGAAACCATATATTACCAAGGCCTACCATAAATGTTTTTGAGATTGTATACTAAATTGAATTCTTTTCTTCTTATACGTAGGTATGTACACTTGCTAAATACTAGATACATTGTTAGCTCGGGCAGAAATCTATCTTTAGTACGGGTATTAATATAAGTTGTGCAATTAAAGCGACAACATTCCTTCTCACCGCCTTTGTCTCATCAATTAATTGTGACAACCCCTTCCAAGGTTTCGAACATAGTAAGCTGCACCGCCACGAGAACCTAGCTCCAGACCCTCGGACCATTAGTTCCACGCGATCAGATTGGAGGCTGGGGAATTGGAGTACGTCTGCCAAGATTGTGGCACATTAGGGCGGGTAAAAAGCCCCCCCTGTTGAAATGTAGTTTTGGTGGCAATCTTCTCATGTGCAGCCTCAAGGAGATGCAGATGTTATATCATGGACGTAGCACTGATAACCAAGAATATCATGATATTGTTCATGGATGGCAATGCGACCCAGGGAGGAAGGACTGCGTCATACCTGCCATTCATTTGCTGAGCACTCTCTGATTCACAGTTCTTGAAAGACTTGGCCGGCTCCGACGATACTAGAAGAAAATTTCCTGTTCAAAGGCCCTGCGATGTTCTCAGTAACACGTTTTACTTGAGATTTAACGTGGTTCATCATCATGCGTGTCACGGTTTTTTAACACACATAATCGTCCCCTTTGTTCCAACATTGCCACATTTAGCTTCGCTCAATCAAGTTTTAGAGAGGAGGCGAAATGGAGGTAGCCATGAAATACCCCTTTGAATGAATGAATAATTGCATGCTGTGGTCATGCCTATAACCCCCAGGTAGGGTAATTTGGCGATAGAAGCATTCCCAGAACGCAACATGAGGTCATGAGTGCTTGAGTGGTGGCGCGACCATCTTAGTTGTTGAATTTCGACTATTTCTATTTTGACCATTACTCTTATTTCAACACCGCAAACTTAAATAGTTTCCAATCACACTCACCATAGTTTCTCACAGATCCAGATCTATATTAGATATGGATGACATTCTGACGACCTCAAGCTCGAACCAAAGGCTTCCAATTTCTGACGAAAACTCTCCCTCTCATCCTCCAACCAATGAGGTATCTAAGTCTGGCTTGAGTGCCGGCGCCTACACTCTATTTCGACCACAAACTCCGGTGCAGACGGAAAATAGCCATGCGCAAGATGTGATTTATCAAAACTCTAAAGTACAAGTAGACGTTGATCAGATAACTATGCAACATCCCGAGACTCATGCCAACAGGACCCTAGCTCAGGAGTATTCCAAGAATCATGTTATGCGGAATGAGGATCTAGCATCATCGGGCAATTTACATACCAAGGCAACTCCAGCGCAAATTGCAGGTGCGCCTACACACGAGAATGCCAATACTTCTGGCCATACACTCAAAACAAGATAGATGTAATGTTAGCTAGCGCAAAAGAGACAGCAACCTTGATAGACCCAGATGCCGCGCAGGCACAATTCGTTTCTGCTAAAGCAGCCGTGAACACAAAATTGAGAACGATGACGAACCTAACAGCTCAAAATATCAGTGAGCAAGTGTGGGAAAACTTTTCAGCTGACATTCATGAGATAGCACGCAAAGACTATGGTATTCGAGGTGCTGTGCAACAGCATGATGGTAGTCCCGTCGATAACATTAGAGATATCGGATGGCACAGACCTCTCACTGAGATTCCGGATCCATTGCTTGGAGGTCTGCCAAATGGAAGACTGTTTTCGTTGATAAGGCGTTTCAACAAGGTAAGAAGATCACTAGCATATGGATAGCATTCTAATTCGATCAGGATGTATTTGATGTTCGTGCAGTCGATCTCAAAGTTTCTCGTGGGCTTGACCTAAACGATGCCTGGTCGGACGAACACGCTGCAGACAAGGCTACTTTGCATCTCGAGCGAATGTACTTATCGATGATACTTGGATTCGCTAGCCTTGGGAAACATGTTGCTAGACTGCGGTCATGGAAAGAAACTCGTCGAACAAGCGTTTTCTGTGCTGTATGTTTTATCCCAGTACTATTATGTGTAGCTGCTTACAAGATATAAGGCATATTTTACAGCATGGGCTCTTGATCTGTTATTGCCATTAGTGCTTGGCAGTCTGATTGCGCTAGTCTCTTCAAAAGAGGCTCGCAACATTCTATTTCCTCCAGCTCCCCTAGCTCTGGTAAACATGGGAACTGGCGGAATCCAAAAACCTCAAGCTGGTCAACTGGGAACAAGCAACACTCTCACCGGCGCACCGGAAAAGCAAGAGGGTGAAGCTGTTGAAGAAGAAGCTGCCAATTTTGTAAGTAACATTCATCACATGGTTGAAAGAGCAATCGGAATGCATGCGAAGAAGCAGAATGAGGGAGACCCGCTAGAAAGCAAAGTTCCAAAACCTATCAGAAACGCTGCAAAAGCTGTTCACTCGGCTGGATTTGCCCCTGCAGATACTGGAAACGACAAATACATGACTCAAAAACCCATGGAAGAAATGCTTTGGGACAAAGCTAGCCCAGAGCAAATTGAACCCATCATCCAGACAGTACCTCACATCATAGGCGAGATTGTCGACAATTGGGAGCGCTTCACCAAGTAGGTGATATTATGATTTTGCTTTGTGACTTTTGGCTAACCTTCTAAGCGCGATCTCGGCCACACCACCATTCCCAAAGATGGCTTTTCTACGGATTGACGCTGTTTTAATACCTACATTTCTGATGTCACTATTTGTCAGCTACTATATGGTGTACAAAGGAATTGGTTTCTTCATTGGCTTTGGCATTTTTGGCGACCCAATCTTGACACCAAGTCTCCAGTGGCTGAACCAAAATTATTCTAATTGGAAAGAGCTTTTAGAGCCCAAGAAGTAGGTCACTTCTCGTTCGTGGCTAGAAGGCAAAACTAAAACTGTGCAGTAACATTCTCCGTGGTGTTCCCACAAATAACCAGCTAACACTCACACTCCTGAGAATTGGGGAGGCCAATCATACGCCTCTCCCTCCAGTACGAACCTCTCACCCCAATGATTGCAATCAGAAGCAAATCATTGATAAGGATAACATTCCGCTTGACGCCACGGATACCGAAATTCAGCACGCCATTCATCCTTCTGGAAACATGGAGAAATCTCATCCGCAAGAAGAAGAGCAGGGCAAGGGCCAGAAGCACGGAAAGCTGGCTAAGTTTATCCGTGCCCTAAAGGCCAACACCAAGGCATCTGTAGAGACGAAATTAGCCGTGGACCATGTCAGAGCTAAGGTTGGTAACGAAAAAGCCAAAGGACAACTAGGCATTCTTCCGAAGAAGGAGAATCTGATTTACGCTGGCCCTAGCGAGTATAAGGCTCGATATGACGGCAAGAAGGGCTGGCTCTACCTCACGGGCAACTCTATACTGTTCAGCCACAAAGAGCAGGGCAACAGATCCTCTCTAGTTGTTGAGATACCTTTTTTAGAGATCAAGCAACTAAAGCGAGTAGCGGCATTCTCAGCCAAGGCTGCGGAGGTAGCAGCTGATTGGGGTACTGACAAAGATCTACTGGGGAGTGTAGAGATTGATGGGTTGAATGATAAGACGTGGAAGTTTACTGCGTTGCCGGAAAGGGATGAGCTGTTTAACCGCTTGGTCGCTATTAGTGGGCACCGATGGGAGAATTTGTGAACCGGGTGGTTGTGTACGATAGGAAGCAAGGAGCAGGAGGGGTTAAAGGGTCGTTAATTTTTTTGGGAGGAAAAATTCTTTCCGTGTTTGATAAGAAGTAAAAATTGTATAACTTTGCCTGGTAGCGAAAAGTATGACGAGCCATCTGAATATAGCAAGTGACATAGAGATCGATATTGCGTGAACGCCGGTGCTAATCAAGGAGCGAATAATTGATTGATTGAATGATTGATTAACGTCCTGTATCAGTCTAAGAATGTATAGGACGGCTACAGCATATGAATTTAGCAAGTCTATGTATCGTATCTACAAAAGGGTTCTTTAGTAGTAGTTACTAACGATCAAGTGAATATTGAGGGGCTAGCCCTATGAAAGTAAAAAACAAGAAGCAGGACAGTTGTTCCAGCAAACAATTTTTTCTTATACACGTTATTAGTATCCGGATCGGTGAGTTTCGATTGTTTTTAGATCCTCAAGCTCGAGATTTATATACTTGAAAAGCGCGGCCGTTTGATTGATCAAATCAATCAAAAGAGGTTTTAGCTGAGGTTTGTCAACGATTTTTAGACACAATTCTCTTCATCCTAGTATCTGCTTGGAGATTTGCATTGAAAGACACAGAAGATTTTGATCAGTATTACTATCCATTGAGATAGTTTACAAGCTATTCAAACTGAAATTGAAACCAATAGTCTTGGTATACTGATACCTACGGAAAGGCGAAGATTACGAATAATGATTTGAACTAGATTGAAAGACACAAAAACGGCCACAGGGAAAGGAGCAAATATGAGCATTACTTGTAGATAGAGCCATAGGTTTGAAGTGCGTATCTATCGATTCCTACATAAGATCAAAAGCCAACAGGTCTTTTGTCTAGAAGTCTCCAGGTGCGATATCCTGCACAAAAGAATGAATCCCGTTCTGTCTAAATATCAGACTCTCAAATTCAAGTGAAGTTCGAAATTCGCTGAATAGTTAAATGGTTGGGGAAACGGTAAGACGCTATGGATGATTATCGGTAAATATCATGAAGATTTATGACATGGTTAGACTTACAGGCGTGAAAGTGGTGGTTTTAGTTATCCTTGTCGTACTCGTTATTGTGGTTGTGCGAGTTGCCCTAGCCCCAATGATCTGTCAGTGAAATGGACGAATCATTATTTAATTTACACTCACGGCTCCTGGATTGAGGTGAGAGATAATGCCATCCCTAAATTTATCGTCGTGGTGCTACCCGGACCAGTGACGTAAATTGTTTTCGTCGAATCTTGAGTGCTAGATGCAGAGCCTAATGATTCAGAACTCGACTTGTCGATTCTAGAAGTTGAGGTTATGTTCTTCGCCGATAAACTTGTAGATACTATCTTTGTTGAAAGTACGAGAGTTCCGGGCGTGACAGTTATATATATTTCGGGAGCAAATGCTAACACTGCGGTCTAAAAACGTTAGTATTGTCTGCGATCATGTGTCAAGGTGATCATACCGAAGATACTGCAGTGGAAACTGAGATGGCCCCAGTGTAATAAATCGGTAGATATTCCGTATGAATGACCCAGATTTCAGTGACAGTTGTACACATTTGAACGCCGTCGGATGACAGTCCGCATATTTGAACGTGTATATCTGATGGATCATCTGCTGCAATTGACCGCCATGGAGCGGCATAATATGTTGTAACATTTTGAACATAGTTATTCGTCAACGGCGGAATTTCCTGGCGCTTGTGAAGAACTGAGACGCTGCTCGCAGGAGGTGTTGTAGTAGCTAAAGAATAGCCGTACTGTGTAGAGAAGGTGACAATCTCATCACATTCAGAGACAGTATGCTTAGTAAAGTATCCTGTTAAGACAGTTGAACATTTAGTCGTGATGATAGTCTGAAAAGAAGGCGAACATGATGTAGTCCTTGCATCTGGCAAGTTGCACGTCTCGAAAACGGGAATTACTGAAGTGACATTCATCCCTTGGGAAGTAGGGCTGGGTCGAATAGACTTAGTAGCAGGCCAAGGCAACGTATAGTTGATCGAGGATGTCCGCCCAGTGGATCCTTCTTGGTAGGTTTGTGCTACACTAACATGTTTGTAATTCTCTTGACCATCATCATCTGTCGACCTACTATAGGTGAGATGAATAAGAGCCGACTTCTTGTTTCTTCCTGAAACTCCGATGGGTAAAATGCAAAGAACTGAAGTAAGTACCAATAAAGTCAACATGATCGTTCAGGAATTTCAAATCAAGAAGAGAAAAAGGAACATCCGGGTCTGCAGAGGGAGAAAAAGTAAGAACGAGAAAGCGAGGAAGAATAAATCGTCAACGATTTATATATAGCAAGAACATTATGATACATGACAACGCGCAAGACGCGAAAACGAGTGGTATTTGAATGTTGGCGTTACTACAAGCCAAAATTACTGTGGAATGTAAATGTGATAAGATTTGTTGATACCCAGACTTCACTGTTGCTTAGCATTCTTAAGACTATTTCTTAGCATCATCATGAAATTGTTAAATTCTCATGAGCCTAGAGGCCTGGAAAGTTCGGATGCATAGAAATGCAACTTTGCAATGTATTCTTGATGATGATAAAATCGATGGCGGCGCGATGCGTGTGGAAGAAAAGTGGTGTTGTGTTGTCTTGTGGGATGAGTTTTGTGTGAACATTCCGGTCGCCGTATTCGAATGCCCCTCTCCACTTGGTGGTACGAAACTTTGTTATCAAAGGCAACAGTATAAAGATTCCCGTGTAAACACAAACCATTCTCAAGTACAAGTCCAGTACGACGATCGAGTATTCTCAAGAACCGGCCTTTTCATAACATTGATACAAGTGTTGCTTTGAGCTGGATTGAGGTCAAAAGGTTTGATTAATCATGCCTCCCAAGAAGCCGAAACAAAGTACAGCTACACCCGAATCTCTGTCTCCAAATTGGCCCCCCTTCAAACCTCTCATGCCACCTTCGAATTTGTCGCTCGAAACTATCGTTCCTGGTCAGATCATTACAATACCAAATTTCTGGACATCTGCTTTGTGTAAAAACTATGTCTCATTCTTGAAAGGGTTGCCCTTAACCACAACACCTGGAAAGCCTAAAAAGGGTGATGCATTGAGAGTCAATGATAGATTTCGAGTTGATGATTGGAACTTTGCCGAACGGCTTTGGAGAGAGACAGGACTGAAGGAGCTTCTATGTGGTGAAATTGAGAGGGAATATGAAGAAGAGAGCGATAAGATGAGCGAAGAAGAACGAAGAGAGTTATGGTGAGTGCTCCGCCGCTTCATTGCGTGTAGTGATATATACTCGTTAAGATGATGCTGACAATTGTACCTCACAGGGGAGGAGATGTTATAGGTCTGAATCCCGCCATTCGGATATATAGATATTCTAAGGGGCAGTTCTTCGATTGCCATTGTAAGTCAGCCTTCTCTCACGAGTCACGGGAATTTCTCATTCTCACTTATTCTCTCAGATGATGAATCAAATCTTATCACGCTTCCAACAAAGCCTGCGTCTACTCCCGCAAAGACAACCTGGACACTATTATTATACCTCACGTCTCCAGCAACAGGTTGTCTAGGAGGAGAAACAGTCTTTTACCCTGAGGAGCTTCCTAACAAGAAGTCCCCTATCGACAAACCTGTTGTCATAAACCTCGAGACTGGAATGGTATTATTGCACAAGCATGGAGATGATTGTATGTTGCATGAGGGAAGAGAAGTTACGGAGGGTGAGAAGTGGATTATAAGGACTGATGTCTGTATAAAACGTGTGACTAAGTCAACCTTCTGATAGTTACGAATTAGTGCTGAATCTCATTACCAACCTGCCAACCTGCGTAGGTGGTGACCTACATTTTGGGTATAAAATATTTATGCATGATTGAATAAATTATGCAAAAATGCATTATTCAGCGTGGCGGACCACCAAAATAAACCAATTCGGTAAACCTTCCCTGTTCTCCGCATCAACTTTCTTACCCATACCTCTTGTTGGATGAGAGACAACGTGGTACAGCTAATAAGATTGCTTCCCCTCACCAACAACTGTATTTCATACGAACAAGTTCATGGCACACAGATGGCTTACGATACTGCCACTTCAAGATCTATTGATTGCTTTCACACCGATACTCTGTCTACTAACACATAGCAACTAATAAGTTTAGCTTAGATACTTCATAACAAGAACACCCAGCTTATCCTGCTCAGAATAATAAGACATCCTCCTCAATTATGTTTTCCAAAGTATCTCTAACTCGAAACTTTCTCCGAGCTGCCAAGCCAGCCACGGTTCCACGTAGAGCTCTTATGACCCTCCCCTCATTTTCGCTCGAAGGAAAGACTTGTGTTGTCACCGGCGCTGGAAGAGGGATTGGGAAAGAATGTCTTACTGCTTTTGCGCTCAGTGGTGCCCGCGGGGCTTGCGTTGACCTCACTCGCTCCATTGGTGAGCAATCGATCGATCACATCAAAACGAGTATTGAACCCACGAATCCCTTTTACAAACCCGACCTCCGTGCTTATGGATGTGACGTGGCATCGGAAGAAGCAGTACAAAAAACATGGGCAGAGATCATCGAAGATTTTGGACATGTCGATGTAGTTGTTACAGCTGCGGGCATTGTTGAGAATTATGAGGGAGAGAAATATCCTTTTGATAAATGGAAAAGAATGGTGGACATAAATCTTAATGGAAGCTTCTTGTTCGCCAGGGAGGCAGGGAAATACTGGATCGAGAAAAAGTCCAAGGGAAGCTTGATTCTGATATCGTCGATGAGCAGCATGATTTGTGTCAGACCACAAAAGCAAGCGGCGTATAATGCTGTAGGTGTACATTTTGTTCACAGCTAGCCCGCCCTGCTAGCGAAAGAGTTCGAAAAGGTCATCGCAAATTCCATTGCTAACACGACAAAGAGTAAAGGAGCCGTCTCGATGCTTGGTAAAAGTTTGGCCACAGAGGTAAGAATCCTAGTATTTTGCTCCCGGAATAGGACTTACCTGAATTCAGTGGGGCCCCTATGGGATTAGGGTCAACAATTTATGCCCCGGATACGTGAAAACAGATCTCATAATTGATCTTTTGGAAAAGGAGGGAAAACACATCGAAGAAAATTGGGTAAAAGATATACCAATGGGGCGTCTCAGCCATCCAAGTGAGTTACAAGGAACGCTCGTCTACATGGCGAGTGATGCATCAAGCTATCTGAATGGCTGTGATCTTGTAAGTTCAACATTGCATGGATAATACATTCACACGTGCCTCTCACTAATTCTCGTAGGTCGTTGACGGTGGTTATACCTGCTATTAATTTCTGCAAGGCATTCAGGCAATTCTGGGTCACTTTAGTATACTATTAGAGATTCATCAATCTTTCACATTTTCTTTAAACCAAGAAGCTTTCATTGATGCTATCCCGATGAAGTGCACGGATTGTGGTTTGACAGAAGTCCGTAAAGTAGTTCTTTGCCTCGCATGACAAAACATTTCGCGTCTGAGCTATGTTCCTTTCTCCAACCCAGCCCACGTAATCCTTTTTGTTTTGCCAGATTTTTGTAGCAATTGATTCGTCCAAACTTGATCAATTGCGGAAATTGTGCTTGCTTTTCACTTCTGCTACAAGCTTCTCAATATTCTTCGTCACTCTGTACTAAGCTTTGGCCTCGGCTATCGTGCCTTCAGCTTTATATTCCATATAAAGGAACCATAAGTGAAAATTTGAACTCTTCTTAACAATTTCATACGATCTGTCTTTCTATTACAACAAAATCCTACTCCAATACAAGCTCTTAGACCTTTCAAATCCCAATTCTATGCCACACAACCAGTCGTTATACTAAGCCTGTGCCAGTATACCTCTCAGCTCATAAATAAACTTTCTGAAACACAGACTTCACATCGTACACAACTACCAAAATGCGTATCGCCATTGTTATCGCTGTAATGTTTGCATCTGTCGCGTCGGCTCGTGTCATTCCAGCATTCTTGACGTCTCCATCAACCGAAGGTGTTACGACGAGAAGTATTAGACATTCAACTACGCTAGGTCGCAGTCATCTCGAGGTGGACATGTTGTAAGGAGATTGTCTAAAGATGAATGGGTCGATGTTCACTATCATTTTCCGTGTCGTTAGCTGGTCCATCGGCCTTTTGTTCGTTGCAAATACGGGCATGGAGGAGTTTTTGATATCAATAATGGGTGATATGTGCTTGGTTATAGGTCTAGCGACGCGTGTGTTACAGTCGAGGAGTTAAGGGCGAAGGATCAGGATGAAGGAAGTTCAATGAAGTGTTTAAGCTGGTTGTGATACCGCGAATATCCTTTGTGGAAGCGGAATTTCCGAGAAGATGCCCATCTTCATGTTTTCAAGCAATGCAAACGGTTATACATTCAGTTCTCGTCTTAACATGTGATCATGAAGTTGCTCATAAATAAATTGACATTGACTTGACGGCCAGAAACTGCTTCTACCCCAGGTCCTTCCTCTTTTAATGCTTCAGAAGACCTTCAGCCATACACCCTCTGGACTGTGGATAGTGACGCCTTTGATTATACCGTACCGTATTTTTCTTCCACTAGAATACCAACATCATAGAACGAGAGTATCATGAAGCGCACACGCAGCTTGACGCAGAACTTATCAATACAGTGAACTTGTGACCATGACTAACCATTCTCAAGAACCAAGCTAGTAGTTTCTTACCACTAGTCCATGTCCACGCTCGCCAGGTCGATTATGCCGTAATATCGGACCATGAGGTCCCATTTCCGGCTTCTTCTCTTTCTCTTCATCCACCCGCTCGCCCACAGCACCATCACGATTTGCTCTCCAAACACCACCCTCCTCACCACCAAATTCTTCTTTCTTCCATACCTCCACCTTTTTCTTACATTCCTCCAGGGCTTCTTCACCTGCTCTCCAAGCTGCCTGGCGATGAGGCGAAGACACTGTAATCAAAATGCTTTCCTCTCCAATAGGTACAACTCCCAATCGATGGATCATGGCAATGGATGTCAATGAATGTTTTTGAACAATTGCTTTACAGATACTGAGCATAGTTTGTAAGGCCCGTGGCTCGTATGATGTATATTGAAGTTCTTTCACTGGTTTCCCTCCAAAGTTGTCTCTGGTGGTACCTACTAATGATTCAGTACGATACTCCGAGATCTGTATCTATCTCGTTGATTTTACCTGCGAAAAGAACGATGGCTCCGGCCTTTGGGCTTCGGACTTTGTCCATCATCACCTTGGCATCAAGATACTCGTGAGTTAATGCTACATAGCAATTATCTTCGCAAAGCTCTTTAGCCATGATTTCAAGATTTTTGAGATAATTAAAATCCTGTGATGCAATCCATTAGAGGAGAACTCGTAAGGCCTGCGCTGGGTGTTCATGTGGTGGGGTAGGTAGCCTTCTGTATTGTGGCGTGTAGTGGGGTCAGCCTTGCTTGTTTGTGGCTCAAAGCTGACCTTCCAAAAACAACCAGCCTTGATTTAACAAACATCATTAATGAATTAACAATCGACTTGCCAACATTTCAATCACATATACTTCCCATCTCAATACTCATAGTTCAATAACTCAGGATTACACTCATAATTGATATCTTATGACTTTCACGGCGTCATGAGTTCCAGACTTTACAAACCAGGCCCTGATGCCGACATGTATGACGATCAAGAATATTCGAGCGAAT